TAATTGGGAGGAAGAATGTCGAGAGTGGAAGGCCGTCTCCTTGCTCTTCGTCTCCCCCTTATCCTAACCATTTCTCAGGATGGAGTTTACTTGGGCGAAAAAGTGGAAGGATCTTTTTCTAATGCAGTAGGTGAAGCAAATCATAAAGATTAAATGAAATCCTAAAATTGATTTTCAGCGAGAAAATGTTATTTAGTTGGGGGTGGCGTATTACCTATCGAGCCCCCTAATCCCAAGATAGTTAAGTCACTTCAGGAGGTCGATTTTCTAATACGCCTCTTTCCGGCCGCCAATAGAAATTTCACTACTTTTAAAGTAATCGCTTAAGTAGCGCCCATTTTCTGCTAAGGAACTGACGGTGTATCTCGTCCCCTTCCCACAAAATATTCCCTTTTTATGTATTAACACAGGCCTGCAGCATGGCCTGGAGCGCATGGCATAGATGCCAAAATTTTAGCCATTCGCGAGTTCCCTACTCCCACTTCTTTTCAACAACTGTGCCGTTTTATAGACCTTATCAATTTCAATCGACATTTCATCCCTCACTGAGCTCAATTGATCTTACCACTTACTAGTTTTTTACGCGGAAGCAACCGCGAATTTTCTTTTCCCGACACAGCTGTAGATGCTTTTAGTCGTGTAAGAAAGGCTGTTGTGGCTACAATTGCCCACCTTCACTCTATACCTGATGCTCCGTTCTCCATTGTTGCCGACGCCTATGATTGCGCCATAGGTGCCAACCTTTAGCATCAGACGCCCACGGGTATCCCAACCTTGGCTTTCTACTCTGCCAAACTGACACCCCCACAAACTCGCTATAGCACTTTTGGTAGATAACTTCTTGCCATTTATTTAGCCATTAAATATTTCCTTAATTTCGCGGAAGGTTAAGATTTTTGTATTTAAACTGACCAAAAACCTCTTACTTACGCCTTTTACACTTCCTTTGACAAGTATTCACCCCATGAGGCCCCCCATTTCGATTTCATTTTTCAGTAGACCCCCGATATTAAATTTCCTAAGGCCCTTTATAATCAAGTCGCTGATGTCTTTCCCGATGAGGAATTAATGTCATCGCCAGCTCTTCCATCGAATTGGAGCGCATGGCAGAACTGCAAAACCAGCCGATTTTCCCTAAAAGCCTCAAACACACCAGTCTTCAAATCGAGGCCATTCCTCCTTCCACCACTCCCGGTATAAACTTGTGTGACGTATCGCGTGGTGCCTCTCGACCCGTAGTGCCAAGCGGGACGAGACAAGACGTCTATGCCGCATCGCACAATCTTGCTCAGCCTGGAATCCGCACCACCCAGCGCCCCGTCAGCGAGCGTTTCTTCTGGGGAAGCATGAACACTAATATCCGCCAGTGGACCCGCTCATGGTTGGCCTGTCAGAAGGCCAAGGTCGGACGCCACACAATAGC